GCAGCGTCAGTCGCTCGTAGAAGATAACATCACGTGATGCCACCGTATTTTTGTCGTGTATGTCGAGAATCTTCCACGCGTGAAAATGTTTGGCGATGCCGAGGTGTAGTCCCCACCGAGCTCGTTGAGTGAAGCGTCCTGCTCGAGCTGTGTGGGGTCTGTATTGTACCATGCAGCCGAAAACTCGAAGTAATTTTGTGCTGCCCCTTTTTCCCGTCCACAGCAGGTGCGGTGATGCGTTGTTGGGGAGCGATGACGAGGACAACAGGTTGTGCAGGTGGACTGCATGTGTCATCGCGTCTGGCCACAGTGTATTGGGCAGCCTCATCCCCAGAAGCAGTTTTCGCATCGTCGTCTGCAAGGTCCGGTTCATGCGTTCTGCTACCCCCTGCTGCTGGTGAGCATAGGGCAGAGACACCAGGCGTCGGATTCCCCTTTCCGCGAGATAGGTCCTGAAGCGTTGTGACTGGTATTCCAGTGCACCGTCTGACTGGAAACTCTTGAGTTTGGTTCCTGACTCTCGTTCGGCGATTGGAAGCCATGTGGTGAAGGCCTCGAAGGCTTGATCGCGCGTTTTGAGATTGAAGTGCCAGACGTATCTGGTTGCGGCGTCGATGAACGTGATGACGTAGTTGAAGTCGGCTTCGGTGTCGTCTCGAGGCATGTTTAGAATATCGCTGTAGACCTTTTCCATCGGAGCGTAAGTGGGTGCGCTTGGATTGTGATGGGCTGGGAAAGGTTGATGAGGAAGATCTGCTTCGGGGCACGTGAAGCATCGTGCTCTTGGTCGGCGAAGTTCTTGGCCGCTCGTCGTTAGAAGGGCGTTACGTTCTAACACCTCTGCTTGTATTGTTTGTAGTATCGTGCTGTTTGCAGGATGTCCGAGACGTTGGTGCCAGATGTCGTCGGGAGCGCGGTGACCGGGCGAGCGGTGGTAGATGTCGGCGTTGGAGAAGAACGCGACGACCGAGGCGGGACTTCGACAAGCTTCTCGTGTGGCGGGCATAAGTTGGTCTGCTTCCGTTGGCGGTCCTCGTGTTGATGGTGGTGGTACTCGGCTGGGTCCTGCTGCCGATACTGCAGGTGATGGTTTTGTTGGGACGCTTGCTGGTACTTGTCTTTCTTGTCTGATAACTGCTAATGCCCGTGTTCTCTCTGCTGCAGGTATGGTGTTGGAGTGCCAGAAGCCGTCACTGTCGAAGTCGGGATCAAGATCTGGTGGGTGAGTCCAGGCGGCGAACGATACGATGCCATCGCTGTCGGCAGTTCCGCGGTCGGGGACGAAGTCCAACACGAAGACACCGGACTTCAGGAGGGCACGACCGATGAAGAGACCGCCCTTCCCGTGGTAAAGTCGGAACTCGTTGGAGAAGGAGTCGCACTCCAGGTGAATCCCCTTAGCCATTAGTTGGCTTACGCTTAGTAGGTTGTATCCCAGATTGTCGACGATGAGGACTTTGTTGAGCTGAAGAATAACGTTTGTCTCCATTGATTGTAACTGAACCACGCCTTGCCTGTTTGTTTTCAGGTTTTCGTTGTTGGCGACGGTGATGACGACGTCGCGGTTGAGGCGTCGCTCGTGTTGTACGAAGCGTCCGGAGGAGCACATGTGCTGACCGCAGCAACTGTCCAAGAACCAGGTGTTCCGCCCGGTGGGTTCGGCGTTAGCGACTGCAGCGTATGTCGGGTTGACCTGAAGTCCTTGCGAGCGCGGCGGCGGGAATTCCTCTTCGTCTGGTGCGTAAGTGGGTGGTGAAGCGGGTGCGCAGTTGTCGATGTGTACCATGCAGTTGATGATGTTGGGTGTTTGTTGTGCAGATGTTGAAGAGCGCCTTGGAGGACTTGCTTGAGTGGAAGCGACTTGTGGGTCTGCTGCACGGTAAACGCGAGGGCGGTTGCAGTTGACCTTGGAGTGCCCGGAAGTCTGACAGTTGTGGCAGAACGGCGGCACGATGGTGAGTCCTCGGTTGTCGCGTTGATCTTGCTTGCTGCGTCGGTTGTAGTTGTTGTCATTTCTTCTTTGAGTGTAGAAGACTAACTGCTGTTGCTTCCTTGGTTGTCTTTCCTCGAACAGATCCATCTCCTGTTGTTCAGCGTGAAGCTCGGCGCAGAGGTGCATCTCCGAAATTCTTCCGTGGGCTCGAAGAAGTGATCGTGTGGTTCTCCATTCTGGCCCGAGCCCGGCGAGGACAAGTGTCACGAAGCTTTCTTCAGTGATCGTTCCTCCGCACCGAAGCAGGCGGTCGCGGAGGGTCTGGCAGCGACTCATATACTGCATCGCCTTTTCCCCGGTCTTCATCTGTATTGTTGTCAGCTGTTGCATGAGTCTGCTTTGTGTCACGCTGTCGTTTGCTTGGTAAAGGCATTTGAGGTGGTGCCATGCGAGCTCCGCGGAGTTTCCATAACTCCGATACGTTCTGATGCTCTGCTGCTCTTGTGGTGACAGGTTTCTCAGGAGTACCGTGTACGCCAGCAGCGACTGATACGTGAAGATCTCTTGTTCCTTCCCAGTGCCGTTGCTTGGGAATGGCAGGGACCCGTTGAAGTATCCCAGAAGATGCGCGGCCTCCATCAGCAGCTCAAACTCGAAGCTCCAGGTAAAGAAGTCGTGTCCGTTGAACGGTGAGGATGTCTGAAGTTTGATCACGTGTGAGAACTGCGCCTGTAAACTTAAGATTTCATTCGGTGTTTGTTGTGAAGCAGCTGCTGTTGGCTGGGCACGGGGCGGCATGAATTCGAACGTCCCCGGCGAAGAATGATAAGGCGCAAAGGTAGGCGCTTGGTTGTGTCGCCCGAAGGATGAGTTGTCGAGGCTCATCGGCGCTAATCCCATATTCCCTCCATTGCTCTGTGTTGAGTGCGCAGGTGTCCTTGTCTGCTGCTGCTGGTCGAAGTGTGACATGAAGCTGAAGAATCTCTCCATGAGATTCGGGTCCACACTTGAAGAGGGAGACGGAGTCACCATCTCTGGTACTCTTCCCGTTGTTTCTTGAGTAGTCCCGGTCTCTGTCTGCAGTCCTGAGGTGTGCAGACCAGAGTTGCCGTGTTGAGTTTCTTGGGCGCTGGGTGAGCCCGTAGAGACTTTCTTGCCCTTGTTGTCCATGTCTTGTAATCAATGGAGTTGTTGAATCAAGTTGAGTTGCTGGTTGTTGATGGAGTGTAGTTGCTGGGAGTTTTGATCTCTGACCAGCTCTCATACCATGTTGGGCTGAGAAAAGTCCTTAGGATCTTTTGCAGAGACTAAGTCCCAGCTGTAGAGACTTGAGACTTGGAGTAGTGCAGCGGAAGTTTGAGGCAGTTGAACCCTTGTACTAGTATGTGAGAACAAGTGATTGATTAAAGAAACAAGCATACAGCAATATATAGAAGATAAGGAAGCAGTTGTAGAATACAGTTACAGGAACGGTTTATCGAGTCGCACAGCGACTCGATTGCCGCTTCGGTTACCATCCGTGATGTTGTAACGGTCAGTCGCAACCTCCAGTTGCGACCTTTCGAGTCCTTTCGCATTCTTTGTCCGCCCCCTCGTGTAACCTCCGTTGACTCGCGTGCTCCCCTGTAATCTTCCTCGAGTACAGTGTTACACTTCAGAAACGCTTAAGTCCTTGAGATATTTCCAACACGTACAACTTGCTGAAAGTCCAACTGGCAACATTTAATTGGCCGTTGGATCGCTATCTGGATTGCGACCCCATTTCATAGCGACTGAGTGACATATAAGGTGGTAGTGGATTTCGAGAAAATAATTGGCGACTTTTGTCCAGACACTCCCAAATCGCAAGGGACTTCGTCAAAATTTCTTTGACAGACGAGACGTTTAGCGACGTTGGCCGAACACACTACAGTAGTTGTACGCCGTACGAAAGCAGTACAGCGTGTTAGATCCTACCAACTTATGGACGATAGGATATGTTACGAAACTATATAAGCTAGGATGGTAGGGCAGCCATTAAATGGCAAGGGGTTTTGAAGGTCAAAAGCTAGGGGACCAAGTTTGACGAGAGAAAAGAGGTGGAACTAGAAAGAGAGAGAGATACAAGGAGGGGATTGTACCCTCTACATAATAGTTCGGTAACCTACCAAGCCTAACAATTATATAACACAATATATAATTTAACATGATAGTATCTGGATAACAATGTCGAGAACTTGGTAATGGCATACCCGATGTACTACATCTCATGAAAAATGCACTTAAACCTTGTACATTCCAAGCAAGAAGTATGCTAATATGGTTGGTATGCTAGTTTGACCGAATTATAAGTTTCGTTTTTATAATTTCTGTGATTCTTTTTGTTTCACTGTAGAACTCGCTTTATATATTGATCAACTACAAACCTTATATACATGTTATGAATGCATTCTTATATGCCATAATGCTACATGCTACCTGAACACCCACCCCAGTCGTCATTGTTCCTTGCTCCGAGAAATTTTCACAATTTCCACCCAAGTGGGCTAGTGAAACTGTTGGTAACCGCCCACTTCGTCGCAAAAGCGCCCTTCCCCACACTACCACGTTACCCCTCAGCTCAACCTCTAGTTGGTTCGTCGGTGCTGCTGCTGCTGACTCGGCCACTGCACCAACGGGCACAGACGAGCCGAACCGCGTGCAGGGAGAAGCTGAAAGAAACCGCGGGACGGCTCTGACTGCTGGCGACGCGAGGCGATCGAAGCGCGCAATAAATTCAATGCCAGCCCTTCTGCTCCCTTCCTCCCAGCCAGCTGAGGCGGGGAGCCGGTTCGCAGGCAAAGAAGGGATGTAGTGCGCGATGAAAGGGGATGAGACGAGGTGATGGTGGGTTGCCTGGCAAGCCGGAATCCACCTCGTGCTGCTGACCCGTCACCCGACTCTCGGAACCGTTATCGCGCAAATTCCCTTTCTTGGTTGGCTGGCTAGGCACACCAGGGAGGAATGGTTGGTTGCGTGTTGGGTGCTTGCTGGTCTTTCTCTGCCCCGCCCACCGTAAGCCTGCCAGTGACAGCAGAGAAAATCCAGGAATCGCGTTTCCTGTGTGAGTGGAGGGGTACTCGAGGAACTTTGCTGTGAGCCAAGCCGAATTCTCAAATCCGCCGATTTGTCTTCAATGCCAGCTCTTGGCACCCATCTCTCCTAGCCTTACTTATCTTCGCGCCACTCGCGGTCCTCAGGGGTTAGAACCGGAGACAAACTTTCTTAGGATTTTTATAAATTCACCCCGCCATCAGGGTCGCCCCGAGATATTAGCGTGGAACTTCCCTAGCAGTGCGTTCTTAGAACGCAGCCTGCAACCAGAATACCCAGCGGAGGCATTCTGTGTGGCTGATATCGCCGGAAAGGGTAGCGCTTCAGAAGCTCCAAACAGCAGTAGTACTACTACGGTAGCAGCAAGAAGAGATTAACTCGAGGTGTGGATATCTCTGAAGCCAATCACCTGCGGTCACAGGAAAAGGTCGCATAATAGTCAGACGGAAACCGCAGACTCGTCCTTGAAAGCGCAGTCAGACGGCAAGCTCCAAGACTTCTCCTTCTCAAATCAAACCACCATCTTCGTAGATACCCCGGTGACTTTCAACGCCGCTCAATCGACCCTCCACTTCAGCGGTCGCATATCATCCAAGTTTTGACTTTCCAGTTGTTTCTTAATCTCCATCCTATACCAGACTTAAGCCGTCTCACGACTCCGTACTAAACCACCGGCGATGGATTTCGCTCCAGCCTTCGCCACCGGCCCGCCCAGCTCTCTCCACAAGCCGTCCGTCGCGGGCAGAATAGGCAACTGGCGGGGCCGGGCAGACGAAGGATTTCTCATGCTGCCCATCCCCGAGGAGGGCGAGCTCGTCGAGATGAGCGCGGAGGCGGGGTCCGCGCGCGCGGCATGGCGCGCGCAGGCGCTGCTGGGGATAATCCTGGGGGAAAAGGACAGCGCGTCGTTCAAAGAGGCGGAAACCAAGGGCGGCGGAGGGGGGTCACCAGCTGGGGGCGCGGGGATGGAGTGGGGAGCGGGGGAGAAGGACGAGGCGGCGGAGGCGGAAGTTGCAGCGGAGGCTGCGGCGACGGCGGCGCTACGGCAGGCTATGAGTGGGATAACTAAGCACGGGCGGACGCACGTACTTGGCGACTCCGCCGGATATAGCGACGCGGGGAAATCAGGCGCGTCCGCATCCGGCGCCGCCGCCGCCGCCGGAGGCGGTAATAGCGGCATGTCGCGATGGCGGTCCATCGCAGCCGCTATGCTGGGGAAGCGGGCGCCTGACCCGCCGCCGGCTTTCGAGATGCCGCAAGGGGCGACCAAGGGAGGGGGAGGGGGAGGAGGAAGGGGAGCGGATGGCGGCGCATGGTGGGCGGCCTGGCTGGGCGACAGCGGCCGGTGCGCAGAGCACGGGCGCAACGGGGGAGGGATGGCGGAGCACTCTCAGGCGGACTTGAATCAAGCTGCAGCTGCGGCGGCAGCAGCGGCGGCGGTAAATGGCGGAGTCACCAGCGCGGAGCACCACTCGATGTTTGCGAAGAAGCATCAGGAGCTGGAGTTGGCCAATCCGCCGTCCCCCTTGTCCGTCTCTCCGCCTTCCTCTGGCGCGTCCTCTCCGCCCACCTCCGCCTCCTCCTCCTCGTCCTCCTCCGCGTCCTCCCCCGAATCCTCCGCCTCGGCGCAAGAAGGCACTCCGCCCGAGCCCTGCTACTTGCACGAGGATGCGCACGCGGGCGGAAGCATGGCGGACGGAGATGGTGGGCGCGCGGAAAGCGGAGAGGCGGAGGGAGTCGGGCATAGACAAGGCGAAGAAGCCCCCGTGATTGGCTCGTTCATGGGCTTCGCCATGCGGGGAGCGCAAGGCGGAATCGCAGCGGGCGCGGACGGCGCAAGCAGAGGCGGAAGCGGAAGGGGCCAGGCTTGGGGGTGGCTCGAAGGGGGAGAGGCGGAAGGGCAGGTGCAGGCGGACGTACGCGCTATAGAGAACCAGCAGCACGCGCTGAGGCACGCCTTGGAGCGCGCGCAAAACCGTCGCGGCGGAAACGGAAACGGAAGCGGAAGCGGAAGCGGAAGGGCGCAGCTTGGGGCGGATGGCGGAACTGGCGGAGCTGGGAGCGCCAACGGGGCGGAAGCGGAAGGGCCCGCGGGTCTACCCGCGAATCTCATGGGCGCGTGGCGGGAAGCTTGGGTGGAGTCGGGGGAAGACAGGCTCGGCGGAGCGCAAATGGCGCGCCGGAAGGAAGTCGACGCGTACGGTTACGGCTATGGCTGCTCCGCTTACCCCGCAGAAACGACGCCTGGTGACGGGAGAATCTCGATCCGTAACCCGCGGCGCGTCGCCGTGAAACCCGGCGGCAAGAGCTCCCTCTGGCTGGGCGTAAAATCCTGGGCCGCGTCGCGAACAGCGGCTCGGCGGCGGAGAGTGGCGGCCGTCCCGCGCGCGCAGCGGGAGGGGGAGTGGGCGGTGTGGGGGATCGGATTCGCGGTGTTTGCGCTGATCAACGTGCAGCTGATCACCGGCTGCGCGCTCCTCTGGCTCTGCCTCCCCGCGGCCTGGTCCGCCACCGCGCGCGCGGCGGTCGCGGGGTGCGCCAGCGCGCTCGTGGGCGCGCAGCTTGCGGGGAACGTCCTCGTCGCGGCGTTTGCGCGCGCCGCCGTGCTGCGGGAGTTCCTGAGGCGGAAGATGAAGGCCGCGGGGAAGGCGCAAGGCGTGGCGGTGGGGGGACAGCGGGGCGCGGGGAGGGCGGAAGACGGCGAGGCGGCGGATGTTGAGGGGAAGGGGGAGGCGGTGGCGGCGTGCGGAGTGGCGTGCGCGCTGGATGTGGAGCAACTGTTGGCGGAGCAAGGGGAGGGGGAAGGGGGGAGCCAAGCGGGGGAGAGAGGCATGATGAAGGTAGGGCGGGCGGGTGGAATGGGGAGGAATCATCGCAATATCCTTTCTTCCGAAACCTCTACCCAATAATTGTGTAATTAGGGGGAGGGGGAATGTTCGGCTTGCTCAAATTCTCCTAAGAGCCACTAAGAGCCTCGCCTCCCCTTACATTCTCCTTTGAAGTCAATTTCTCTTTTACCCTCTCTGCCCTGCCCTCTTCCCCAGCAGGGCTTTCACTCTCGCCCTCTCCTAGTGTACAAAGCAGAGCACAGCATCCAGTCCCAGAGCACCCACCTGCACCCCTCCGAACCCACGGGCACCGCACCAACCGACCCCCGTCCTTACTCCCCTGCTCCTTCACCCACGGCCACGGCTGCAGCTGCCGCCGCCGCCTCTGCTGCTGCTTCTTCTGCTGCATCAGCAGCAGCTGCTGCTGCGGCAGCAGCACCAATGCGCATAAGAAACGGCAGCAGCAGCAGCAGCAGCGGCGGTGGCAGTGGCGGTGGCGGCGGTGGTGGTGGTGGTGCAAACGGCATGCAGCACGAGGGGGCCGAACGGAGAGGGGCGGCCGTGGAGCAGGAGGAGGGGGAGGAGGAGGGGGGGGGGGTGTTGCAGTGGTGGCGGTGGATTTTGTGGTGACGGACGTGGTGTCGCGGGTGTCGGTGGTGGTGCGTGCACGGCAGGCGGCGGACAATGGAGTGCTGGAGATGGTGCGCCTGCCCAGTGCACGGAGACAGCAACGCGGAGAGCCATCCAGGTACATGCTTGCTGCTTGCTGGACGGTATTTTTTAGAATCCTCTAAAGCACCCTGCGAAATCAGTGCAAGGAGCTGGCGACACGGAGAGCCATCCAGGCACACACTTGCTGGACGGCATGAGCCAGTTCAAGTCAGGTGTGTTGTCCCGTGCGTGCTGTCAAGGCACGTGATAGGGAGCATGCCTATTGTGTATGTGGGTCCTGAAGGGGAGCTCCAACGGTTTTGGTGCCACAGGAGGAGTACTGGTAGTTGTTGTGCTGCTCATTTGGGACGGACGTTAGGGGGAGGATGGCGGAGGGTAAGTGGGTCTGTGCACGCCTTAAAACTCGTGCCTCTAGCAGTCTAGAGAGATTAGAGAGAGTGTGAGCTAGCTCACTTGCTTGCACATCGACCGACTCACTCACATCCGTACTGTTGCGTGTGACTCCGCACGCTCACTTGTTACCAGTTTACCGGCTCTGCCTCTCCTTCCTGGTCCTGCTCCGCCAGATACCAGGAGCTCACCGTTTCTGTCATATTGCATTGTGTGGCTGTGCTGATGCATGCAGGCCGTTGACAGCAGTGCGAGAGGGCGATGTGGTAACTGCAATCGGCAGTGCCATGCGAGATCCCAACACGGGCACACTGCATGTGGTGCCGCTGGTGTATCCGCGCAACATCTCCACCTTCACCTTCCTATTTGGTTGCCTGCCCTTCTACTTCCCGGTGGTCGTTGGCCGGAAACTCATTGTTGCTGCTCTGTGAGAATAGCAGCAGCACCGGCAGCAGATCCTGAAACTAAGAGGAGATGCTGGGTGTGGGAAACATTTTTTAGGTACTTGAAAATAGTGGGACTAATGCTTGGGATTGAATTTGAGATGGATTGTTGGTATGGGGAGTGCTTGATTGACAATTAGGATTAGAGACCATTAAAGCAAGTGTTCGCTCTAGCGCACTGAGATTTGATTTGCCTAGTGAAGCCTTGTAGGTCATGTGGAGTGGACGGTTTGCTCGAGTTCAATTGCCCTTTTCACAAGTGGTGTAAGATAGATCACCAATACTTGCTAATCGTTTTCCGCATAAATGTCGTACATTTTCTTCTCAACAGACGCGGAGTAATGACGGCACTTCTACCCCCTCCACCCCAACCGCGTATGTGCACCTTTCGTACAATTCGTTGAAAGTCGATGCAGCGAGATTCGCCAGGATGACGTGCCTCCATCGCACACGTACACACACACACACATGTTCCTCTCCTCTCGTCAACTCGACTCGTCACTGGACTCAACATGCCGCCACAACGCGCGACCACAACTTTCGTCCGCGCCACGTCCTGCCTCGGAAGATGGGGGCACCAAGATGTGAAAATCCCGCTCGCAGACCACTCCAATTATGAGGGCGGGTTCTTATGTTGCGGTAGGAACATTTCCACAAAATTTTCAACGGGTAAGATTGTCTCTCATCTCTCAGATTGAAATCTCGACCGTATATAGCTCTAGGCAATTTTCCTTCCACAGGGGAGGAACGCGCCCAGATAGGGGATTTTCTGCATAGAGCAGATTTCTCCTCCCCTCGCAGGGAGTCTCAGTCTTGTCCCATCCCTAGCGCATGCAATCTCGTCAGCACCACCGAGTCGTGAAACGAAATTCCGCCATCGGCGTGTAACGAATCCCGTTACCACCAGTCCACCACGGGTGAGCCTGCTCGTCCGTAGCATGGTCCCTCCGCTCGGCAGCATTTCTTTCGTGGCTCCGCTCTCCCCGTCGCCGCTGTCGCAATCCCTTTCCATGCGACACTATCGCTGGGCTCTACTTGCCGTGCCTCTCGCGCCCGCTCTACTGCTCTCTATCCCGCGCGCGCACGCCGTTTCCATGGCGTCCGCTTCCGCTCCGTCAACGTCAACGTCGGCGGTTGCCGACCCGTCGACGTTCGGCTACCGGTCGACGGCGGAAGACGTGACGGCGGGCGTCGACTTGACCGGCAAAATGGCGATCGTAACGGGTAAGGGGAGAGTGGACGGCGTAGTAGGTCAGGTGGTGAGGAGAGGGAATAGGGGGTCTCCCCTCGAAGGGGAGGAGATGCGGGGGAAAGCGAGGTGGTGCGAAGGGAGGGAGGGACGCTGTAAGGGAGGGAGGGAGGCTGTACGGGAGGGAGGGAGGCTGTAAGGAAGGGAGGGAGGCTGTACGGGAGGGAGGGAGGCTGTAAGGAAGGGAGGGAGGCTGTGGCGCTTGATTGGTTGTGCAACGCATAGCAGCACCGGTTTGCGCGCTATTCCGTTAGTAAGCTGCTCTTTTCGCAGGAGAACAGCTCTTGTAACGAACCTCCGTTGTCTCTCCCCTCGCATCTCCCCCCCCCCCCCCTCCTCCCCCCTCCCCCCCCTTCTCCCCTCCCCCTCCCCTCCCTTCCCCCCCTTTAGGCGGCAGCAGCGGCATCGGCACGGAGACGGCGCGAGTGCTGGCGCTGCGGGGCGCGTCGGTGGTGCTCGCGGTGCGCAACACGGAGGCGGGGGAGGCCGCCAAAGCCGCCATTATCAAAGACCTCGAGGGGAAAATCGCGGCGGAAGCGGCGGCGGCGGCGGCGGGGGGGGTTCCGGCGGCGGTGCGGGAGCGCGTGAGCGTGATGGCGCTGGACCTGGCGTCGCTCAAGTCGGTGCGCGCATTCGCCGCGGATTACCTGCGGCTCAACCGCCCGCTGCACGTGCTCGTGTGAGCCGCCGGAGAGAAGGGGGGGGGATGACTGCTGCACGTGCTCGTCTGAGCAGGGGAGGGGGAGGGGGGAGGGGAGGGGGCGAGAACCGCCCGCTGCACGCGCTCGTGTTTGGGGGGGGTTGGGGGGGTGGGAAAGGGGGAAGGGGGGGTGGGGATGGGGGGGTAACGGGGGGAGGAGGGGGTGAGGGGGGAGGGGAACAGGGGTAGGGGAGGCTGAAGAGTGCAGGGAATGAGAGGCGGCGAGGGGCAATGTTGAGTCGACGCACGTGAGGTGGATTGCTGCGTCCGTCCGTCTGTCCCGCCATCCTCCCTCTTGGAGTGTCACATTGTTCCTTGCTGTCTCCCCTTGACCTCTCCTCCTCCTATCTTCTCCTCCCCCCCTCCCCCCTCCTCCACCCCCCGTCAACCACCCTGGCATACCCACCTCCTCCCCCCCCCCCCCCTCCCCCCCTTTCCAAACCCCCACCACCACCACGGCAGCAACAACGCGGGTGTGATGATGTGTCCGTTCATGCTGACGGCTGACGGCTATGAGAACCAGTTCGGCACCAACCACGTGGGTGAGTGGTGTGGGGCGTGCAAGGGAATGGGCTGGGAATGGATGGTGCATGGGAAGTAAGAATTGAAATGGTCGCCCAACATATCATGGGGTATGGATGCACAATAAAAGTAGTCCAGTTCCCTGTTGAGTTGACCGATTCAATGCATCGCTCCTCTTTGCCACTAACCCAGCAGAAATCGGTCTCTTGTGAGCGAAGAAACTCCTCCTCTCCTCGCATTCCCTTTTCCCCACACCGCTTCCTTCTCCTCACGCACCTGCTGCTGCCCTCAATACCAAGTCCTTTTCACCAACCCCGTTTTACCGAGTCCTTCCCATGCAACTTCCACCCTGCATCCCCGCACCCCCACCATTCAGGCCACTTCCTGCTCACCAACCTGCTGCTCCCAAAGCTCAAGGAGACGGCAAAGAAGGAGGGCACAGAGGCGCGCGTGGTGATAGTGTCGTCCTCTGCGCACAGGATGGCACCCCCCGGGGGCATCCGCTTCGACGCTATCAACTCCCCGGAGGGGTATGACCCCATCAAGGCATACGGGCAGTCAAAGCTCGCGAATATCCTCCACGCCAGGGAGCTGGCGAGAAGACTCAAGGTGAGTGTGGGTGAGAGGGGTGGAATGTGGGTGAGTGTGTGTGTGTACGTGTGAGTGTGTGAGTGTGTTCGAGTGTGAGTGTGTGTGAGACAGTGTGTGTGAGTGTGTGTGTGCGCGCGCGCGCACACACCACAGTCCTAGTCGTCAGTCTCAGTTGGTGCATTCCTCCCTAGATTCGCACGTCACCTTCTCTCGCCTTCTGGGGCTCGCCTTGGTTCTCGCCTTCTAGTGCACCTGTTGCCCTTGTCTCGATCACTGTATTCACCACATGCGTGCGCGTGCGATAAGGGGACCAGAAGCAGCAGTGAGTTAGTGCCACTCCGCTCCCCCCTGTGATGATTGACACTAACCTCGTGTCACACCTCATGCCTCATGCCACGTCCCCTGTGCCAAACCATTCTCCTCGGCACTAACCGCTCGCATCCCCCCCCCTCCCCTCCCCCCCCCCCTTCCCGGTTCCGCCCCCCATACGCAACTTCCTTTTTCCCCCTCACCGCTCTCCCCGTTCCCCCCATTCAACCTAACTTTAACCCAATGCATGGGAGCAGGAGGAGGGAGCACCGGTGGCAGTGAACGCGCTGCACCCGGGGGTGATCGACACCAACCTGATGCGGCACATGGCGCCGCCGGGGACCATCTGGCACACCATCAAAAGTACGTGCGTGGGATGGATGGGCCGGGGGTGGGCCGGGTGGGGTAGGCTGGGTGGGCTGGGGGAGATAGGGGAGATCGCTGTTGTATTGGATCTTTAGGTGCACTTTGCCATGAATGTGTTTGGATTTTCATTCTCGTTAAACCTTGCCCAGAGCCTTCTCATTTCTTGCACTGTTGTGAACATGGCAGAAGGAGCATACGCCCTGGTGATCCAGTGGTTTCTCAAGACCATTCCCCAGGTGCGTACGGGGGCTGCCCGTGTGGTGGCGCTGCTGTGCCGCTTCTCTCCTCTTCATCGCATGCCCATGCCCATGCCCATGCCCATGCCCATGCCTATGCCTATGCCCGTGTGCCCATGCCCATGCCCATGCCTATGCCCGTGCCCATGCCCCACACACACATGAAGGTTCTAGCTGCATACCTCCCCATACTCAGTACTCTGCACGTGAGCCTCCCCTCTCCCCTCCCCTGACCCCTCTCACCTCCTTTCCATTCCTGCACACTCATCTCCCCCGCGCCCCCCTGCCAGGGTCTTGCTGTTTCCCAGCACATCCTGCACTTGCAGGAGAGAGTGACTGGGAGCATCCTCCATGATTCACGCACCCTTCTCTTTCTCTCTTCTCCGCCGTACAATCTCTCATCCTGCTTTTAACTATCTCCTTCTTCTCCTTCCGTACCTCCCAGGGCGCTGCCACGTCGTGCTTCCTAGCAGCGCACCCCTCGCTGGCGGGGGTGAGCGGGGGCTACTATGCGGACTCACGGGAGGCGGAGAAGAGTGCAACTGACCTCAGCAAAGACATGCAGCTGGCGGGGAAGCTGTGGGAGCTGAGCGAGCAGATGGTCAGCAAGGAATGAGCGTTGAGGCGCCTCAGTATTTGAGGCTGTGGAGGCTAAACGAGGTCATGGCCTGCAAAGAGTGATTGCAAACTTCTGGGTGTCCCTAATGAGTGGGGGCTGGGCTAACTACCGTAATTTTGCCAAATAAAATCCTCTCAGGACCACATTTATGATGGTTAGAGGGGTCGGATGTTTTGTATAAGCTATATTTTTTAGTGTGTAAATGTTGACGTTCGTAGGAACATATATGTATATATACTGTAGCTTTATCTAGGGGTAGAACACTTGGCCGTATCCGTGTTCTCTCGACATGGTACGGAGCTAGGCCTAGCTCCTAGCCGTCACGCATCCTACCTAGACACTACCCACTCCCCTCCCACCTCAGCTTACCTCCTTAGTCCTAGTTAGGCTTTAGTCTGTTGCTCCAGCCTGCGCCCTAGCCTAACCTCTCGCCCTAGGCTGCTGACCTGCCTTCGCACAGCACGCATTTTGCCGCCAGCCTACCTACCAGCCACCGCCAGCTCGCCGCTGCCAGCAGCATGCTAGTCGCTGCCCGCTTGCCGCCAGCAGCTCGCTCGCAGCACGTGGCCGCCAGCAGCCGCCGACAACTCGCCGCAGCCAGCAGCTCCCTTGCTGCTACCAGCTTGCCGCCAGCTAGCCACTGCCAGCAGCTTGCTCACAGCGCGCCACCGCCAGCTTGCCACCAACTCGCTCGCTGCCAGCTCGCCACCAGCAGTCGCCGCCAGCTCGCCGCCACCAGCAGCTCGCGAGCCGCTACCGCTTGCCGCCAGCTAGCCGCCGCCAGCAGCTCGCCAGGAGCCCGCCGCCAGCCGCCAGCTCACTAGCAACCAGCCGCCAGCTCGCCGCCAGTTCACTAGCAGCCAGCCGCCAGCTCGCTGCCGCCAGCCGCCAGCTCACTGCTGCCAGCTCGCCGCCAGCTTGCTGCTGCCAGTCGCCGCCAGCTCACTGCTCCCCGATGCCAGCTCACCGCCAACCCACTCTAGCGGCCCACTGCCAGCTCGCCGCCGGCAGCTCTCTCGCTGCCCGCTGCCACTGCTACCCTGCCACAGCATACCGTTGCCGCCAGCCTGCTGCTACCGCTAGTCTGCAACCGTCCCCAGCCTGCCGCTGCCGCCAGCGGCCTGCCCACAGCCACTAGCTGCCGGCCAGCCGCCAGCCGCCAGCCGTCAGCCACTGCCACCACTCCTCCGGCCGCCGCCGTCGCTCCAGCCGCAGCTGCTCCTAATCATAGCCGCCGCTGCTCCTAATCCTAGCCGCCGCTGCTCCTACACCCAGAGGTCCTTGCCGCCTCCCCTGCCTGCATGGCGACCTCGTCGGGCTACGACTTGCGACTTGACGCCGAGGGCCGGGCGGTCGACTTCGCAGCCTGGTTTCTCGCACTCCGCCGGCAGCTGGCTCACCAGCGCGTCGAGGGCGAACTGCTCAAGGGCCATGTGACTGGTGAGCTACGTTCCATCCCTCGCCCTCCCCCCCTTGCCTTCGATATAATGTCGGAGCAGCATGAGGTGTGCGCATCTGCCCGGACTGCGCACGACAGCTGGCGGGCTCGCGACGCTGCTGCACTGCTGGCCATCGCCAGGTGCCTGCCGGTAGCCAAGCGTGCGCGCTTTGATTCGCAGGAGGCAACCCAGGCTCTCTGGACTGCAGTCGAGGCTCGCTACTCGTCACCGTTCTCAGCCGCCCTCGGCCGCCTCGTCCTCCCGTTCCTCTTCCCTGACTTGGCCTCCTTCTCCACGGTCGCGGAACTTGTTGAGCACCTCCGAGACCTCAAGGTACGCTACCGTGCAGCCTGCCTCAAGGCCAACCTTGATACTCACTCCCCGCCCACTTGGCTCACCCTTTACCTCCTCACCACCTGCCTCCCTGTCCACCTCGCTCCTGCACATGACGCGTTCCTTGTGCTGTCCCCCACTGCCCTCACCATCGTTTGCTTCCCCACCTCTCTGACGAAGGTCGAGACCCGCCTCCGTGCCATCGCTGAGTCCACTGGCGCAGTGGCGGTCCCTGTCTTCTAGGGTTGCCCGCCGTCTCAGGCCCTTGCCTCTGGTGCCTCCGCCTCTGTCGCTGAGACTGCTCCGGCGGTCACTACACCTGGCAGATTGGCCAAGTGCTTGCAGCGCCGTGGTGGTCATGGGGCATCGGTAGGTGGTCGGGGCACTGGTGAGGCCTTGGGAGCAAGTGGAGGAGCGGGTTCGGGGGAGGAGGGGGAGCAGCAGCAGCCGCAGCAGTAGCCTCAGCGGCAACAGCAGCAACAGCAGCCGCAATAGCAGTAGCAGCAGCAGCGGCACCTGTCGTAGTGGGGTACTGGAGGATGTGGCTGTGGTGCGGGCCCTAGTGGTTGGACCCTGGGGCAGTGAGCGCGGGGCTGGCGAGCGCGGGGCCGATGGGAACGGGGCTGGCGGGCACGGGGCCGGCGAATGCGGGGCCAGCAGACACGGACCTGGCGGGCACAGGGCAGGCGGGTGCGGGGCTGGCGAAATCGGGGCCAGCGAGCGCGGGCGAGCGGGTGCGGGGCCAGCGGGCACAGAGCCAGCGGGCACGGGGCTGGTGAGCGCGGGGCCGATGGGCGCTGGGCTGGCGGGCGCAGGGCTGACATGCGCGGGGCCAGCAGGCACGGGGCTGGCGAGCTCGGTGCCAATAGGTGCGGAGCTGGCGAATGCGGGGCTAGAGGCGCGGGGCCGGCGAACTCGGAGCCAGTGGGCGTGGAGCTACGGACGGCTAGTTGCGGGCGGCTCAAAACAGGCGGCTCGAAACGGGCACCTAGCGATGGGAAGCTAGGTACGGGCGGCTAGGAACGGGCGGCTAGGACTAGGCCTAAGGCGGAAGCGCGGGTGGGCGGGGGGGACCCAATCTAGCGTGATACCATATCAAAGTTAGAATCAATGACTAGAATGAGGTAAACAAGGTGGTTTTGTCTAAGGGGTTGTACCCTCTAAGAGTACGCACCTATCTAGCCTATAAGACGTATATATAATATGTTTGACAGGTTACACCAACTCTAGATCCTGACCACCCTAAGCATGTGGTTTAAAGCCCGAGTTCAGAATGGTTTGCCTTCAAGTTCAGGATTCCTGAACTTGTTTTCGTGGAAAAAAGGGTAACCATGTTTAGCGCACGCAAATCTCGTGACCCTGGGGGCCTGTGAACAGAGGTTGTTGACGATTGGGCTGTTCCGCTGAAGGCAAAAAGCTTGCGAGCGCCGTAGCAAAAGACAACACTGGAGAACACTGTTCCCACTCAGGATTCTTGAACACAAACTGGACCAAACTGAACGCATTTCCAAGGAGCCTGCACGCGTATAACTCCCTCATAGGTCTCTGCGCCGCCACATACTCGCGATCTTCCCCGTCTCCAGCTGACGCCTAAACACCACACCCGTCAAGCACGGGGTACACCCCCCACTCTGTAGCATTATCGAGTTGAGCGCGAGCGTGACACGCAGCCCCGCAATAGCCCGTCGTCTGCTCCGCGATGTCGAGGAACCTTGGCCGATCTGCCATCGGCCCACCGCTGCAGAGAGGAGACTTGGCCAGAGGCATGTATGCGACAGGCCCCACTAGCCTAGCCTGCCCCTTCCTTGCCTGCTATCCCAGCAGCACCCGCTATTCCCCGAGCCCCCACCCCCCCCGCCCTCGAGTCCCTCGCCCGCTATTCCCTAGCCCGCACCTCCCTTGCCCGCAATTCCATCGCCCGCTTTTCCCTACCCCGCGCTTCCCTTGCCCGCAATTCCCCCGCGCGCTATTCCCTACCCCATGCTTCCCTTGCCGGCATTCCCCCCGCGCGCTATTCCCTACCCCGAGCTTCCTTTGCCCACATTTTTCCTGCCCGCTATTCCCTGCCCCGCGCATCCTTGGCGGCAATTTTCTCGCCCCCTAGTCCCACCCCGCGCTTCCCTTGACCGCAATACCATCGCCCGCTATTCCCTACCCCTCGCTTTCCGTGCCCACAATTTTCTCCCCCGCTATTCCCTCCCCCGCGCTTCCCGCAGTTCCCCCGCCCGCTATTCCGCTGAAGTGGATGGCAGATAGGCGGTGGGAGAGAGAATACGCAGGGGGGTCGGAGGGGAATAAGATATGTGGAAGAAGGGGAGAGGGGCGGTGAGTGAGAGTGCGGGGGCAAGAGGAGGGAGGGGGAGAATGAGTGGCACAGTGGTGGTGGAGCCCCCGATTTAGGAGGGACAGAAGGGGGAGCAGAAGGATGAAAAAGTGGGGAGGGGAGCGGATGGCCTGTGTGAAGAGAGAGACGGACAATAGAGGGGCGGACGATGGGGAGAGGTAGGACCATGGCCCGAGGGGAAGAGGAGAGGGGCGAGGGAGCGAGTGAGGAGGGGGGGGGGAGGAGGGGAATGTGCGTGAGGGCAGGGGATAGCGAAAGGGAGATGATGGTGAGGAGGGGGAATGGGGTTAGAGAGCCTCCTCTCCTCTCCTCTCCTCTCCTCTTGTCTCCTCTCCTCTCCTGTTGTCTCCTCTCCTCTCCTCTTGTCTCCTCTCCTCATTTCTCGTCTCGTCTCCTCTCGTCACCTCTCCTCTCCTCTCCTCTCCTCTGCTCTCTCCTCCTCTCCACGGCTCTGGGTTTAGGGTCCCCTCCGCTCTCCTCTCATCTCCTCCCGTCTGCACTCCTCTCCTCTATTCTCCTCTGCTCTCCTCGGTTCTCCTCTCCTCTCCTCTCCTCTCCTCTGTTCTCCTCTCCTCTCTCACCTCTCTTCTCCTCTCCTTTGCTGTTGTCTCCTCTCCTCTCCTCTATTCTCCTCTGCTCTCCTGTGTTCACCCCTCCTCCGTTCTCCACTGCTCTCCTCTTCTTTCCTCCTTTCGTTTCTCCTCTCCTCTCCACTCCTCTCCTCTGCTCTCCTCTGCTCTCCTCTCCTCTCCTCTCCTCTGATCTCCCCTGTTCTCATCTGCTCTCCTCTGTTCTCCTCTCCTCTCCACTGCTCTCCTCTTCTCCCTTGTCCTCGTATCTCCATTCCACTCCACTCGTCTCCTCTCCTCTCCTCCCCTCTACTTTGCTGTCGTCTCCTCGCCTCTGCTCTCCACTGCTCTCCTCTCCACTCCTCTGTTCTCTGTTCTCCTCTGCTCTCCACTGCTCTCCTCTCCTCTCCTCCGTTCTCTGTTCTCCTCTGCTCTCCACTGCTGTCCTCTCCTCTCCTCTCCTCTGTTCTCCTCTGTTCTCCTCTCCTCTCCTCTCCTCTCCTCTCCTCTCCTCTCCTCTCCTCTCTCCTCCTCTCCACGGCTCTGGGTTTAGGGTCCAATCCGCTCTCCTCTCATCTCCTTCTGTCTGCACTCCTCTCCTCTATTCTCCTCTGCTCTCCTCGGTTCTCCTCTCCTCTCCTCTCCTCTGCTCTCCTCAGTTCTCCTCTCCTCTCTCACCTCTCTTCTCCTCTCCTTTGCTGTTGTCTCCTCTCCTCTCCTCTTGTCTCCTCTCCTCTCTTCTCGTCTCGTCTCCTCTCATCACCTCTCCTCTCCTCTCCTCTGCTCTCTCCTCCTCTCCACGGCTCTGGGTTTAGGGTCCCCTCCGCTCTCCTCTCATCTCCCATCCGCACTCCTCTCCTCTATTCTCCTCTGCTCTCCTCGGTTCTCCTCTCCTCTCCCCTCCTCTCCTCTGCTCTCCTCTGCTCTCCTCTGTTCTCCTCTCCTCTCTCACCTCTCTTCTCCTCTCCTTTGCTGTTGTCTCCTCTCCTCTCCTCTGCTCTCCTGTGTTCACCCCTCCTCCGTTCTCCACTGCTCTCCTCTTCTCCCCTGTTCTCATCTGCTCTCCTCTGTTCTCCTCTCCTCTCCACTGCTCTCCTCTTCTCCCTTGTCCTCGTATCTCCATTCCACTCCACTCGTCTCCTCTCCTCTCCTCCCCTCTACTTTGCTGTCGTCTCCTCGCCTCTGCTCTCCACTGCTCTCCTCTCCACTCCTCTGTTCTCTGTTCTCCTCTGCTCTCCACTGCTCTCCTCTCCTCTCCTCCGTTCTCTGTTCTCCTCTGCTCTCCACTGCTGTCCTCTCCTCTCCTCTCCTCTCCTCTGTTCTCCTCTGTTCTCCTCTCCTCTCCTCTCCTCTCCTCTCCTCTCCTCTCTTCTGCTCTCTCCTCCTCTCCACGGCTCTGGGTTTAGGGTCCCCTCCGCTCTCCTCTCATCTCCTCCAGTCTGCACTCCTCTCCTCTATTCTCCTCTGCTCTCCTCTCTTCTCCTCGCCTTTGCTGTTGTCTCCTCTCCTCTCCTCTTGTCTCCTCTCCTCTCTTCTCGTCTCGTCTCCTCTCGTCACCTCTCCTCTCCTCTCCTCTCCTCTGCTCTCACCTCCTCTCCACGGCTCTGGGTTTAGGGTCCCCTCCGCTCTCCTCGCATCTCCCATCTGCACTCCTCTCCTCTATTCTCCTCTGCTCTCCTCGGTTCTCCTCTCCTCTCCCCTCCTCTCCTCTCCTCTCCTCTGTTCTCCTCTGTTCTCGTCTCCTCTCTCACCTCTCTTCTCCTCTCCTTTGCTGTTGTCTCCTCTCCTCTCCTCTATTCTCCTCTGCTCTCCTGTGTTCACCCCTCCTCCGTTCTCCACTGCTCTCCTCTTCTCTCCTCTTTTCGTTCATCCTCTCCACTCGTCTCCTCTCCTCTCTTCTCCTTCGCTGTCTTTTCTTCTCCTATCCTCTCCTCTCCTCTCCTCTCCTCTCCTCTCCTCTCCTCTGATCTCCCCTGTTCTCATCTGCTCTCCTCTGTTCTCCTCTCCTCTCTCACCTCTCTTCTCCTCTCCTTTGCTGTTGTCTCCTCTCCTCTCCTCTTGTCTCCTCTCCTCTCTTCTCGTCTCGTCTCCTCTCCTCTCCTCTCCTCTCCTCTCCTCTCCTCTGCTCTCTCCTCTCCACGGCTCTGGGTTTAGGGTCCCCTCCGCTCTCCTCTCATCTCCTCTCCTCCCGTCTGCACTCCTCTCCTCTATTCTCCTATGCTCTCCTCGGTTCTCCTCTCCTCTCCTCTCCTCTCCTCTCCTCTCTTCTGCTCTCCTCTGTTCTCCTCTCCTCTCTCACCTCTCTTCTACCCTCCTTTGCTGTTGTCTCCTCTCCTCTCCTCTATTCTCCTCTGCTCTCCTCGGTTCTCCTCTCCTCTCCTCTCCTCTCCTCTCCTCTCCTCTGCTCTGTTCTCCTTCCTCTCTCACCTCTCTTCTCCTCTCCTTTTCTGTTGTCTCCTCTCCTCTCCTCTATTCTCCTCTCCTCTCTTCTCGTCTCGTCTCCTCTCGTCACCTCTCCTCTCCTCTCCTCTCCTCTGCTCTCTCCTCCTCTCCACGGCTCTGGGTTTAGGGTCCCCTCCGCTCTCCTCTCATCTCCTCCCGTCTGCACTCCTCTCCTCTATTCTCCTCTGCTCTTCTCGCTTCTCCTCTCCTCTCCTCTCCTCTCCTCTCCTCTCCTCTCCTCTCCTATGTTCTGCTCTCCTCTCTTCTCCTCTCTCACCTCTCTTCTCCTCTCCTTTGCTGTTGCCTCCTCTCCTCTCCTCTATTCTCCTCTGCTCTCCTGTGTTCACCCGTCCTCCGTTCTCCACTGCTCTCCTGTGTTCACCCGTCCTCCGTTCTCCACTGCTCTCCTCTTCTCTCCTCTTTTCATTTCTCCTCTCCACTCCTCTCCTCTCCTCTCCTTCGCTGTCTTTCCTTCTCCTGTCCTCTCCTCTCCTCTCCTCTCCTCTCCTCTCCTCTGATCTCCCCTGTTCTCATCTGCTCTCCTCTGTTCTCCTCTCCTCTGCTCTGCTCTCCTCTTCTCCCTTGTCTTCGTATCTCCATTCCACTCCAGTCGTATCCTCTCCTCTCCTCCCCTCTTCTTTGCTGTCGTCTCCTTGCCTCTGCTCTCCACTGCTCTCCTCTCCTCTCCTCTGTTATCTGTTCTCCTCTGCTCTCCACTGCTCTCCTCTCCTCTCCTCTGTTCTCTGTTCTCCTCTGCTCTCCACTGCTGTCCTCTCCTCTCCTCTCCTCTCCTCTGTTCTCCTCTGTTCTCCTCTCCTCTTCTCACCTTTCCTCTCCTCTCCTCTGTTCTCCTCTGCTCTCCTCTGTTTTTCTCTCCTCTCCTCTGCTCTCCTCTTCTCTCCTCTCCTCTCCACTCCTCTCCTCTCATCTCCTTTCGTCTTTTGTCCTCTGCTCTCCACTCCTCTCCCCACCTCTCCTTTCCTCTCCTCTTATCTCCTGTACTCTCCACTCCCCTGCTCTCCTCTCCGCTCCTATGCTCTCCTCTACCCTTCTCTCCTCTCCACCCCTCTCCTCTCCTCTGCTCTCTCGTCCCCTCTGTCCTCCTCTTCTCTCCTCTCCCCTCTTTGTCTCTCCACTCCCCTTCCCACTGCGCTCCCTCTCTCACTGAGACACCTTCTTGTCATCCCCCCTCTCCCATAAGGAGATGGCGGAACCCTCGCACCTGTCAGCCCTGGAGGAGCGGTGGGTGGGGCGTGGCAACACAAGCGAGGTGCGGGAGGCAGGGCTCTCAGGGCTCAGCCCTATGGTCTGTTCCCTCACTGTACCCCTGCCCTTCCCGCGCCCGCCCCTATGTCTTACCCCCCCCCCCCCCCCCCCCTTCTTTCCCCCCAAATCTATTGACTTCCATGCCTGTCCAACCCAACCCTATACCCCCTCTCCATTTAATCATGTCAAAGGCGATGCCCTGTTGTTTGTCCAAGAAATCCTGTGTAGTTTGCCACGAATCTAAGTGATTCCCCCCTTCCCCCGTTACCCTCCCCCTAACCCCTGGGTAAAACAGCCTCGCAGCTCGGCCTGTCGAAGGAGATGTTCCGCTCTTCTTCCAAGACCATGACCTTGAGTCTGCCTGGCATAAGCGCTCGGTTCTGCAAGGGCCTCCAAAGGGATGGCAGTGGACAAAATAGTGATACAGGGGTACTCTGCTCAGAGGGATATGATTGGGTTTTTGCATGAGCACCTGTACTCCGCAACAAGGGTTGCGGTAGGGGAGTCTGTGGCATAGAGGGATCATAAGATCGGGAAGAGGATATGGGAAGAGTAGACCGAGACCAAGGCGAGGGAGACATAAGAGCAGGCCAATTAGAGGGGACGTGTACGTTTGGCGCAGGGTGGGGGGTAGAATACTTTGTGACCTACCCGCCATGATATTGCATCGGTTTATCCATTCTTGGTGCGCCTAGCTCACACAGTAAATTCTCTCGCTGATCCTACACAAAACATGTTGCATTTAGGCTTATCCATATTCAGTCATGCATATACATGGCTGGTAGTGGCCAACAAGAGACACATGTTGGTGCAACATCCAGTTGGACGGGATGTGTCATGTACGTATTGGACGCAGTGCACTGTATGCCTTGCAAGTAAACATACGCTAGGTTCATCTAAAACCACTAGGACTAGGCATGCAGAACCAGCACGCCAAAAAACGTATATGCAGCAGAGTGGGTGGTCTGAGAGGAACCATGGCTTGGAGCCAACATGCGTGACTTTGGCCCGTCAGACTGAGGGAGGGGGGCTGCCAAAGTGATTGGAAGGGGGGGTGGTGGGGCACAAAAGGAAACTTATGAAGCAGCATGGAAAAGGAAGTGAACGAAGGGTTATGATGTGACTGGAGACAATCCTGTGCAAAGAGGGGGGGTAACCCCCATCAGAGGGGGGCCAAGAGGAGTGGTAATGGTGCTTGGCAGCGTGGGGGGAAAACCTGGGGGCAAGAGCAGAGGGGTCAGCCTAAGGTATGCAGCCAAGGAAGTAAGTCGGGTGAAGGGGGAGGGGCAACAGATGGGGAAACTGTCGATTGTGAACCCTAGGTCATGCAGTTTGGGAAGATTAGGGAGGGGAGGTACGGAGGGGCAAGGGGAGTGGTAATGGTGCTGGGAGGAAATCAGGACAAGTACAATTGAACAGCCCACGATAAGGCAAGGTGGGAGGGGGAGTGGGGAGGACGTGAGAAGATGAGGTAGGGTGTGAGAGTGTGCTGCGAGGTCACCTAAAGAGTAGGCGGGGTTGCTGCTGGTTTAGCGCCGGCGAGGCGTGGGGGCCGAAAGGGAAGTTTGGGGGGTTTCCCGCTGCATGGCACGGGCCGTGCCCGTTTAGCGTGGGAGATTGGTGAAGTCGGCTGCGAAACAGATGGAGGGAAAAGGTGAGGGCGGAGGGGAAGGGGGAAAGCCAAAGACCATACAAGCACAAATGCATATGGCATGAAAACACCACGAAATAGCTGACAACGTGGGACACCCACCCAGGCGACGGCGGCTGGACAACGGGCGAGGTGAGGCAGCGTGGTGACCCCGCCTACTGCGGAGCACTGGTGTAGACGGCGCCGCATTTGGAGCTGCTGGCCTTGTCGTGGCAGTGCGTGGAGGCGTCGAAGCGCGTGGGCGAACTGCCGGGGGCACACTGCTGGGTGGATCCTCCTCGATCCCACCCTCTTCCTCACCATTCATGAATCTTTGCCACTCGTCCATGATCCGATCCACCCAATCCCAATCCATCGCACTTAACCTCCCAAACTGGGGGAGATGGGGAAAACTGGGGGAGATGGGGGAAACTGGGGGAGATGGGAAAACTGGGGGAGATGGGGAAAACTGGGGGAGATGGGGAAAACTGGGGGAGATGGGGAAAACTGGGGGAGATGGGGAAACTGGGGGAGATGGGGAAAACTGGGGGTGATGGGGAAAACTGGGGGTGATGGGGAAAACTGGGGGAGATGGGGAAAACTGGGGGAGATGGGAAAAGCTGGGGGTGATCGGGAAAACTGGGGGAGATGGGAAAAGCTGGGGTTGATCGCGAAAACTGGGGGAGATGGGGAAACTGGGGGAGATGGGAAAACTGGGGGAGATGGGGAAAACTGGGGGAGATGGGGAAAACTGGGGGAGATGGGGAAAACTGGGGGTGATGGGGAAAACTGGGGGAGATGGGGAAACTGGGGGAGATGGGGAAAACTGGGGGTGATGGGGAAAACTGGGGGAGATGGGGGAAACTGGGGGAGATGGGAAAAGCTGGGGGTGATCGGGAAAACTGGGGGAGATGGGAAAAGCTGGGGTTGATCGCGAAAACTGGGGGAGATGGGAAACTGGGGAGATGGGAAAACTGGGGGAGATGGGGAAAACTGGGGGAGATGGGGAAAACTGGGGGAGATGGGGAAAACTGGGGGAGATGGGGAAACTGGGGGAGATGGGGAAAACTGGGGGTGATGGGGAAAACTGGGGGAGATGGGGGAAACTGGGGGAGATGGGAAAAGCTGGGGGTGATCGGGAAAACTGGGGGAGATGGGAAAAGCTGGGGTTGATCGCGAAAACTGGGGGAGATGGGGAAACTGGGGGAGATGGGAAAACTGGGGGAGATGGGGAAAACTGGGGGAGATGGGGAAAACTGGGGGAGATGGGGAAAACTGGGGGAGATGGGGAAACTGGGGGAGATGGGGAAAACTGGGGGTGATGGGGAAAACTGGGGGTGATGGGGAAAACTGGGGGAGATGGGAAAAGCTGGGGGTGATCGGGAAAACTGGGGGAGATGGGGAAACTGGGGGAGATGGGAAAACTGGGGGAGATGGGGAAAACTGGGGGAGATGGGGAAAACTGGGGGAGATGGGGAAACTGGGGGAGATGGGGGAAACTGGGGGAGATGGGAAAAGCTGGGGGTGATCGGGAAAACTGGGGGAGATGGGAAAAGCTGGGGTTGATCGCGAAAACTGGGGGAGATGGGGAAACTGGGGGAGATGGGAAAACTGGGGGAGATGGGGAAAACTGGGGGAGATGGGGAAAACTGGGGGAGATGGGGAAAACTGGGGGAGATGGGGAAACTGGGGGAGATGGGGAAAACTGGGGGTGATGGGGAAAACTGGGGGAGATGGGGAAACTGGGGGAGATAGGGAAAACTGGGGGAGATGGGAAAACTGGGGGAGATGGGGAAAACTGGGGGAGATGGGGAAAACTGGGGGAGATGGGGAAAACTGGGGGAGATGGGGAAACTGGGGGAGATGGGGAAAACTGGGGGTGATGGGAAAACTGGGGGAGATGGGGAAACTGGGGGAGATAGGGAAAACTGGGGGAGATGGGAAAACTGGAAGAGATGGGGAAAACTGAGATGGGGAAAACTGGGGGAGATGGGGAAAACTGGGGGAGATGGGGAAACTGGGGGAGATGGGGAAAACTGGGGGTGATGGGGAAAACTGGGGGAGATGGGGGAAACTGGGGGAGATGGGAAAAGCTGGGGGTGATCGGGAAAACTGGGGGAGATGGGAAAAGCTGGGGTTGATCGCGAAAACTGGGGGAGATGGGGAAACTGGGGGAGATGGGAAAACTGGGGGAGATGGGGAAAACTGGGGGAGATGGGGAAAACTGGGGGAGATGGGGAAAACTGGGGGAGATGGGGAAAACTGGGGGTGATGGGGAAAACTGGGGGTGATGGGGAAAACTGGGGGAGATGGGGAAAACTGGGGGAGATGGGGGAAACTGGGGGAGATGGGAAAAGCTGGGGGTGATCGGGAAAACTGGGGGAGATGGGAAAAGCTGGGGTTGATCGCGAAAACTGGGGGAGATGGGGAAACTGGGGGAGATGGGAAAACTGGGGGAGATGGGGAAAACTGGGGGAGATGGGGAATGGAAAAGCTGGGTTGATCGCGAAAACTGGGGGAGATGGGAAACTGGGGGAGATGGGAAAACTGGGGGAGATGGGGAAAACTGGGGGAGATGGGGAAAACTGGGGGAGATGGGGAAAACTGGGGGAGATGGGGAAACTGGGGGAGATGGGGAAAACTGGGGGTGATGGGGAAAACTGGGGGAGATGGGGAAACTGGGGGAGATGGGGAAAACTGGGGGAGATGGGGAAAACTGGGGGAGATGGGGAAAACTGGGGGAGATGGGAAAAGCTGGGGGTGATGGGGAAAACTGGGGGAGATGGGAAAAGCTGGGGGTGATCGCGAAAACTGGGGGAGATGGGGAAAACTGGGGGAGATGGGGAAAACTGGGGGAGATGGGGAAAACTGGGGGAGATGGGGAAAACTGGGGGAGATGGGGAAAACTGGGGAGATGGGGAAACTGGGGGAGATGGGGAAAACTGGGGGAGATGGGGAAACTGGGGGAGATGGGACTGGGGGAGATGGGGAAAACTGGGGGAGATGGGGAAAACTGGGGGAGATGGGGAAAACTGGGGGAGATGGGGAAACTGGGGGAGATGGGGAAAACTGGGGGAGATGGGGGAAAACTGGGGGAGATGGGGGAAACTGGGGGAGATGGGGAAAACTGGGGGTGATGGGGGAAACTGGGGGAGATGGGGAAAACTGGGGGAGATGGGGAAAACTGGGGGAGATGGGGAAAACTGGGGGAGATGGGGAAACTGGGGGAGATGGGGAAAACTGGGGGTGATGGGGGAAACTGGGGGAGATGGGGAAAACTGGGGGAGATGGGGGAAACTGGGGGAGATGGGGAAAACTGGGGGAGATGGGGAAACTGGGGGAGATGGGGAAAACTGGGGGAGATGGGGAAAACTGGGGGAGATGGGAAAACTGGGGGAGATGGGGAAAACTGGGGGAGATGGGGAAACTGGGGGAGATGGGGAAAACTGGGGGAGATGGGGAAAACTGGGGGAGATGGGGAAAACTGGGGGAGATGGGGAAAACTGGGGGAGATGGGGAAACTGGGGGAGATGGGGGAAACTGGGGGAGATGGGGAAAACTGGGGGAGATGGGGAAACTGGGGGAGATGGGGAAAACTGGGGGTGATGGGGGAAACTGGGGGAGATGGGGAAAACTGGGGGAGATGGGGAAAACTGGGGGAGATGGGGAAAACTGGGGGAGATGGGGAAACTGGGGGAGATGGGGAAAACTGGGGGTGATGGGGGAAACTGGGGGAGATGGGGAAAACTGGGGGAGATGGGGAAACTGGGGGAGATGGGGAAAACTGGGGAGATGGGGAAACTGGGGGAGATGGGGAAAACTGGGGGAGATGGGGAAAACTGGGGGAGATGGGGAAAACTGGGGGAGATGGGGAAAACTGGGGGAGATGGGGGAAACTGGGGGAGATGGGGAAAACTGGGGGAGATGGGGAAAACTGGGGGAGATGGGAAAACTGGGGAGATGGGGAAAACTGGGGGAGATGGGGAAAACTGGGGGAGATGGGGAAAACTGGGGGAGATGGGGGAAACTGGGGGAGATGGGGAAAACTGGGGGAGATGGGGAAACTGGGGGAGATGGGGAAAACTGGGGGAGATGGGGAAAACTGGGGGAGATGGGGAAAACTGGGGGAGATGGGGAAAACTGGGGGAGATGGGGGAAACTGGGGGAGATGGGGAAAACTGGGGGAGATGGGAAACTGGGGGAGATGGGGAAAACTGGGGGAGATGGGAAAACTGGGGGAGATGGGGAAAACTGGGGGAGATGGGGAAAACTGGGGGAGATGGGGAAAACTGGGGGTGATGGGGAAAAGCTGGGGGAGATAGGGAAAACTGGGGGAGATGGGGAAAACTGGGGGGAGATGGGGAAAACTGGGGGAGATGGGGAAAACTGGGGGGGTGATGGGGAAAAGCTGGGGGTGATCGGGAAAACTGGGGGAGATGGGGAAACTGGGGGAGATAGGGAAAACTGGGGGAGATGGGAAAACTGGGGGAGATGGGGAAAACTGGGGGAGATGGGGAAAACTGGGGGAGATGGGGAAACTGGGGGAGATGGGGGAAACTGGGGGAGATGGGGAAAACTGGGGTGATGGGGAAAGCTGGGGGTGATGGGGAAAAGCTGGGGGTGATGGGGAAAAGCTGGGGTTGATCGCGAAAACTGGGGGAGATGGGGAAACTGGGGGAGATAGGGAAAACTGGGGGAGATGGGAAAACTGGGGGAGATGGGGAAAACTGGGGGAGATGGGGAAAACTGGGGGTGATGGGGAAAAGCTGGGGGTGATGGGGAAACCTGGGGGAGATGGGGAAAACTGGGGGAGATGGGGAAACTGGGGGAGATGGGGGAAACTGGGGGAGATGGGGGAAACTGGGGGAGATGGGAAAAACTGGGGGAGATGGGGAAAACTGGGGGTGATGGGGAAAACTGGGGGAGATGGGGGAAACTGGGGGAGATAGGGAAAACTGGGGGAGATGGGAAAACTGGGGGAGATGGGGAAAACTGGGGGAGATGGGGAAAACTGGGGGAGATGGGAAACTGGGGGAGATGGGAAAACTGGGGGAGATAGGGAAAACTGGGGGAGATGGGAAAACTGGGGAAGATGGGGAAAACTGGGGAGATGGGGAAAACTGGGGGAGATGGGGAAAACTGGGGGAGATGGGGAAAACTGGGGGAGATGGGGAAACTGGGGGAGATGGGAAAACTGGGGGAGATGGGGAAAACTGGGGGAGATGGGGAAAACTGGGGGAGATGGGGAAAACTGGGGGAGATGGGGGAAACTGGGGGAGATGGGGGAAACTGGGGGAGATGGGGGAAAACTGGGGGAGATGGGAAAACTGGGGGAGATGGGGAAAACTGGGGGAGATGGGGAAAACTGGGGGAGATGGGGAAAACTGGGGGAGATGGGGAAACTGGGGGAGATGGGGAAACTGGGGGAGATGGGGAAAACTGGGGGAGATGGGGAAAACTGGGGGAGATGGGGGAAACTGGGGGAGATGGGGGAAACTGGGGGAGATGGGGGAAACTGGGGGAGATGGGGAAACTGGGGGAGATGGGGGAAACTGGGGGAGATGGGGGGAAACTGGGGGAGATGGGGGAAACTGGGGGAGATGGGGAAAACTGGGGGAGATGGGGGAAACTGGGGGAGATGGGGAAAACTGGGGGAGATGGGAAAACTGGGGGAGATGGGGAAAACTGGGGGAGATGGGGAAAACTGGGGGAGATGGGGAAACTGGGGGAGATGGGGAAAACTGGGGGAGATGGGAAAACTGGGGGAGATGGGGAAAACTGGGGGAGATGGGGAAAACTGGGGGAGATGGGGAAACTGGGGGAGATGGGGAAAACTGGGGGAGATGGGGGAAACTGGGGGAGATGGGGAAACTGGGGGAGATGGGGGAAAACTGGGGGAGATGGGGGAAACTGGGGGAGATGGGGGAAAACTGGGGGAGATGGGGGAAACTGGGGGAGATGGGGGGAAACTGGGGGAGATAGGGAAAACTGGGGGAGATGGGGAAACTGGGGGAGATGGGGAAAACTGGGGGAGATGGGGAAACTGGGGGAGATGGGGGAAACTGGGGGAGATGGGGAAACTGGGGGTGATGGGAAAAACTGGGGGAGATGGGGAAAACTGGGGGAGATGGGGAAAACTGGGGGAGATGGGGAAAACTGGGGGAGATGGGGAAACTGGGGGAGATAGGGAAAACTGGGGGAGATGGGAAAACTGGGGGAGATGGGGAAAACTGGGGGAGATGGGGAAAACTGGGGGAGATGGGGAAACTGGGGGAGATGGGGAAAACTGGGGGAGATGGGGGAAACTGGGGGAGATGGGGGAAACTGGGGGAGATAGGGAAAACTGGGGAGATGGGGAAACTGGGGGAGATGGGGAAAACTGGGGGAGATGGGGGAAACTGGGGGAGATGGGGGAAACTGGGGGAGATAGGGAAAACTGGGGGAGATGGGAAAACTGGGGGAGATGGGGAAAAACTGGGGGAGATGGGGAAAACTGGGGGAGATGGGGAAACTGGGGGAGATGGGGAAACTGGGGAGATGGGGAAAACTGGGGGTGATGGGAAAAACTGGGGGAGATGGGGAAAACTGGGGAGATGGGGAAAACTGGGGGAGATGGGGAAAAGCTGGGGGTGATCGGGAAAACTGGGGGAGATGGGGAAACTGGGGGAGATAGGGAAAACTGGGGGAGATGGGAAAACTGGGGGAGATGGGGAAACTGGGGGAGATGGGGAAAACTGGGGGAGATGGGGAAACTGGGGGAGATGGGGAAAACTGGGGGAGATGGGGAAACTGGGGGAGATGGGGGAAACTGGGGGAGATAGGGAAAACTGGGGAGATGGGGAAACTGGGGGAGATGGGGAAAACTGGGGGAGATGGGGAAACTGGGGGAGATGGGGGAAACTGGGGGAGATAGGGAAAACTGGGGGAGATGGGAAAACTGGGGGAGATGGGGAAAACTGGGGGAGATGGGGAAAACTGGGGGAGATGGGGAAACTGGGGGAGATGGGGGAAACTGGGGGAGATGGGGAAAACTGGGGGTGATGGGAAAAACTGGGGGAGATGGGGAAAACTGGGGGAGATGGGGAAAACTGGGGAGATGGGGAAAAGCTGGGGGTGATCGGGAAAACTGGGGGAGATGGGGAAACTGGGGGAGATAGGGAAAACTGGGGGAGATGGGAAAACTGGGGGAGATGGGGAAAACTGGGGGAGATGGGGAAAACTGGGGGTGATCGGGAAAACTGGGGGAGATGGGGAAACTGGGGAAGATAGGGAAAACTGGGGGAGATGAGAAAGCCATACTGGCTAGCACGGGCGCACTTCTCTCGCAGGGTATCCTAAACCCCGCATGCAGCCGCAGAATCCCGTGCCTAGTCACAGAAGTCCGCGCCGTGTCACACCACCCCGCGCCTTGTCACTGCATTTTGGTTTCAGGGTCACAGAATCCCGCGCCTACTCACTGAATCGCGCACCTATTCACGGAATCCCGCGCCTAGTCACAGAATCCCGCGCCAAGTCATAGAATCCCGCGCCTAGTCACAGAATCCCGCGCCTAGTCACAGAATCCCGCGCCTAGTCACAGAATCCCGCGCCTAGTAACAGAATCCCGCGCCTAGTCACAGAATCCCGCGCCTAGTCACAGAATCCCGTGCCTGGTCACAGAATCCCGCGCCGCGTCGTGGAACCCCGCGCGTTGTCACTGCAGTCTGCGCCTAGTCACAGCATAATCGCGCCTAGTCACAGAATCCCGCGCCTAGTCACAAAATCCTACGAATCCTTGTCACATTGAATGTGCGCCTAGGCTCCCGTGCTCCTTGCCCCGTGTCTACCTGACGCGACGTTGTGTGTGGCGTCAGCGTTTCCGTCCCCCGCGTTCTGAGTTTGTCTCGCTCCGGTTTCAGCCCGCCGACTCTGCCTTGGACGTTTCTGGTTCGAGGCGCGGACCTATCGCTGGATAGGTTCATGCTCAGCGTCTGCACCGTTAGGCGTCTGTCTACGGTATGCGTCAGGCGCCCCGTGAGTGGCACGACACGCTCCACACGAGCTGCGACGACTCGTATTCCTCGTCGTGCCGTGCAAGAAGACATGTGCGAACCTGAGCCGTTTGCCTTCGCGAACCTGCGAAGAAACCTCCACCACGCCGGTAAGGGTTGCCTTGACACCGAAGGGCGTGCTGCACATACATCAACACCCAAATCAGCGATCGAAGCATCGAAAAGTATAAGGAGATGAAATTCCACACTGTAGCGCATTACAGCGCACGGCCAAAGGGGGAAAATTACTGCCGCGGACTGACCGCAAATCTTTTCATACTTTCGTGGACAGCCCCTACTTTCACGGACACCACATCAACCTTTCGCTTCTCCCGTGGACTCCGTCCCTACTTTCATGGACATCCGCCTTACTTCCATGGACAAGGTCAAAATCGCAGGAAATAGGCGAAAACTCAACTGTACAAAAAATGACGGGCGCTGAAAAAAAAAACAGCGGTTCAGCTTGCGTCGCAAAGAGTCGCGCACTACAGTGCCCCAAACCTAGTCCGAAACAGAATCTCCCAGAAATTGGGAATTTGACTTTCACGCCAGGTTTTCGTTTGGTGCGTTTGGCACAAAAAGTCCTGTGACGTGTGATTCGGCAGGCAGTACCTACGCGTTTCTCCGCAACTGTACTTCAGAAGGAAAAATCTGTACGCTCTGTAAATTTGTATACCAGTTCAGACTCGTGCTGTTGTTGTTTTTTACACTATATTCGCAAAAGGAAATGTTTCATTCTCATGATGAATGTTTTTGGAGGATTTCCCTGCATAAATTCCAAAATATATTATGTTTTTTAACAAGGATCTAAATAAAATTGCTTCTTTGAAATACAATTCTGATTCCGTTTTGGATTAGGTTTGGGGCACTGTAGTGCGCGACTCAATGCGACGCAAGCTAAGCCGCTGTTTTTTTTTTTTTCAGCGCCCGTCATTTTTTGTACAGTTGAGTTTTCGCCTATTTCCTGCGATTTCGACCTTGTCCATGGAAGTAAGGCGGATGTCCATGAAAGTAGGGACGGAGTCCACGGGAGAAGCGAAAGGTTGATGTGGTGTCCATGAAAGTAGGGGCTGTCCACGAAAGTATGAAAAGATTTGCGGTCAGTCCGCGGCAGTAATTTTCCCGGCCAAAGGACTTGGATACGCGAAAACCCCTACTTGATCATTTCCTTCCATTCGTTTGGGCATTACAAAATTTGCCTAGCTAAATTCGACCCAAGACGAATCCAGGAAATGTTATGTGGATGACGCGTGCCTCTGGGGTAACGAATCGTGCTATCGCGCGTAAAAATCCCCCCTCTCGCTCCTCAGTGTCCTCTCTCCCCAGCACGCTTCCTCTTGACAGCGTTTCTTTCGTCGCTCTCCTCTCCCCCTCGCTGCTGTCGCAATCCCGTTCCACGCGACACTATCGGTGGGCTCTACTCGCCGTGCCTCTCGCGCCCACTCTGTTCCTCGCTCTCCCGCGCGCCGACGCCGTCTCCATGGCGTCCGCTTCGTCGGCGGTTGCCGATCCGTCGAAGTTTGGCTACCGGTCGACGGCGGAAGACGTGACGGCGGGCGTCGACTTGACCGGCAAAGTGGCGATCGTGACGGGTAAGGGGAGAGTGGTGGAGAATTCTTCAGTCTGTGGATTTGAGGGGGCATTCGAAGAAGTCAGAAGTGCGTCGAAGTGCGGCGAAGAGTGGCAATCGCGACGGGTGAGGGGAGGCGAGGAGCAACTTTAGGCCGTTAGACAGGAGGGAACAGGACGAAGGGAAGGAATTATGTAGGGGGAGGGAAGGATGTATAGGGGAGAGGTTGTTGCGTCTCGATCGTTGTAAAGCACGGCAGCAACACGTGGACATTGCGCGCCATTCCGTTGCCTCTTACCGAGGCTTCTCGTAACGAGCCTCCGTTTCCCTCCTCGTCACCTCCATTCGCCTCCCCTTTCGCCTCCCCTTTCGCCTCCCCTTTCCTCTTCTCGTCTCCCCCTCCGCCGTTCCTCCCCCTTAATCCTGACCCGCCACCGTTCCACCCCGTTTTCCCCTGAGCCCTCCCTCCCTCCCTCCCTTTCCCCCCGCCGCTTCTTCCCCCCCTCCTTCAAGGCGGCAGCAGCGGCATTGGCACAGAAACGGCGCGGGTGCTGGTGCTGCGAGGCGCGTCCGTGGTGCTCGCGGTGCGCAACACGACGGCAGGGGAAGCCGCCAAAGCCGCCATCGTCAAAGACATTGAGGGGAGAGCCGCGGCGGAAGCGGCGGGGCAGGCGGGTAAGGCTCCGGTTGGGGAGCGCGTGAGCGTGATGGCGCTGGACCTGGCGTCGCTCAAGTCGGTGCGCGCATTCGCCGCGGATTACCTGCGGCTCAACCGCCCGCTGCACGTGCTTGTGTGAGCAACAGGGGAGGGGGACCAGAGGGGGGTGAAAAGGGGAGGGGGGAGAACCGCCCGCTGCATGCGCTCGTGCTTTTGAGGGCCCTCAAAAACCGCCTGCTGCACGCGCTCATGTGAGCAAGAGGGGAGGGGGAGCTGCTGAAAATGGGAGGGGGCGAAAGCCAGCCGCTGCATGTGCTCGTGTGAGCAATGGGGGGGACGGGGGGGGAGGGAGAGGGAGGGGGGCGGTGGGAGGGTGGAGAGGAGATGGAAGGGAACGAGAGCCGGCGAGGGCCACTCTTGAGTCGACGCACGTGTGGCAAGGATGGGAGGCTGGCACGTGGAGAACGCAGTGGATTGCTGTGTTTGTCCGCCCGTCCATCCATCCGTCCGTCCATACTTCCGCCTCCTTCATTTCCAAGTGCACCGCATTTGCTCCTTGCTGTCTCACCTTGCGCTCTCCTGCTTCTTCCTTCTCTCCCTCCCGCCTTGCCTGTCAACTGCCCCCGCCACCTTTCCTCTCCCCCTTGCTCCTCCCCCCCTCTCCCACCGCCACCCCCAACCCACGGCAGCAACAATGCGGGCGTGATGCTGTGCCCGTTTATGCTGACTGCTGACGGCTATGAGAACCAATTCGGCACCAACCACGTGGGTGAGTTAGCCGACATAAGTTGAATGCACGGACCCAGAGGTACGCTGAAGGAGGAAAGCGAAGTGCACCCACGAACCAGCGCGGAACGTGTTAGATTTAGTGAGATGACTAGATAGGAAGTTACATTTCATTGTAGAGTAAAGGCTAGGGTACCGGGACCCATCTGTTTCTCAGGGCACTTGTTTCTCTCCATCTACTCCCCCCCCCCCCACCCCCCCCACCCCCCCGGCCTCCTTCCCCACCCCCCACCCCCCACCCCCCAGGCCACTTCCTGCTCACCAACCTGCTGCTGCCGAAGCTCAAGGAAACAGCGCAGCAGGAGGGCACAGAGGCACGCATAGTGGTGGTTTCGTCCGCTGCACACAAGATGCCGTACCCTGGGGGCATTCGTTTCGATGCCATCAATTCTAAGGAGGGGTATGACTCCATGAAGGCATACGGGCAGTCCAAGCTCGCCAATATTCTCCACGCCAGGGAGCTGGCGAGAAGACTCAAGGTGAGTGTTATGATGCTATCTCATCTCACGGCGTACCCCCCGGCACATGTGTTTGCACGCCCTTCACACAGTGCCCGACTATTCTCGGTTCGTGCCAATCCGTTTCCACTCATCAACACTCCCCCCTCTCCTCCTTCCCTCTCTCCTCTCCACCCCCTTTCCCCCGCCTCCCTCCCCACCCCCCATCCACCCCCCCCTTCAAAAACTCCCTTCCTCTCCCCCCGTCCACCTCACAACTTCTCATGTTTCTGCTTGCATGCAATCCAATGCATGGGAGCAGGAGGAGGGAGCACCGGTGGCAGTGAACGCGCTGCACCCGGGGGTGATCGACACCAACCTCATGCGGCACGTCGTGCCACCAGGGACCATCTGGCACACACTTGGACGTATGTGGGTGGGCGGGCTGGCTGGCAGACGGCTGGGTGGGTGGGTGGGTGGGTGGGTGGGGGAGAAAGCAAGGGGAATGGGGCGCTTGGACGAAGCGAAACCGAGGACCATTTTGTCCAGTATGCGGCTGGGGACCGTCTAACGTGACAGGACATTTTTCGTTAATTGAGACGCCTTGTCGTTTAAATTGAGCTGTCCAATACCAGTAGTGCATGGTGCTACTGATGCATGGGGTCACCCAATGATCTATGCTGCCGCCGTCCTTTAAGTACGGGCTCAGCTGCGTGCCGTTCGTCATGTGCCGTCCGTTCCAACAAAGCCAGGAAGGGTGCTGCAAGAAGGGGAAGATACCAGTGGTGGCATTGGAATGCTGCTGCACCCTTCCTGGCTCTCTTAGAACGCCCAGCACATGGCGAGTGGCGTTCAGCCGAGCCCCTTGTTGACGGACAGTGGCATCACATGGTGCACTATCATTGGCACATGGGGGCTTCATGCATCGTGCTCGTGCCCGTGCTTGTGTTCTGCGTTAGCTTGGTTGAAGAGCCATCTTACAACAAACATCTCCTGCCTGCCTTCCGCCCCCAATCCCCTCCCATCCCATGCGGTGCAACCCATCAGGGGGAGCATACAACCTGGTGTTCCAATGGTTCATGAAGACCATTCCTCAGGTACTAACGCTGCTTCCTGTGCCCTCCACTCTTCACCTCACCACTACCACCACCTGCTACTGCTGCGCTGCATGCCTCGATTTTCCTGCACATATTGATACTTCTGTACACACACGCATCATGGAGCCACCCCTCATGCACTCAAAATGTGTACCTAATGTCTCATTGTCGCACCGGTCAAGCAAAGCCGGTTACCCTCACTACCTTCCACACTTTCTGGACCTCCGCTTTCTCCCCCTCCTGATCCCTTATCTTCCATATTTTCGTGCGCTGGCGGTTGCTATGCCGCTCATTGACCTTCAACTTCCGTACCTCCTTTCGCCCATCCCCTCTTTCCCATCAGGGCACTGCCACGTCGTGTTTCCTAGCAGCACACTCCTCACTGGCAGGAATGAGCGGGAGCTACTTCTTTCACTCACCCTCATGTTCTCATTCCTCTCTCTCTCCCCCTCTCCTCCTCTCTGCTCTTCTCAGGGCGCTGCCACGTCGTGCTTCCTCGCGGCACACCCCTCGTTGGCGGGAGTGAGTGGGGGCTACTATGCGGACTCACGGGAGGCAGAGGGCAGTGCGACAGACCTCAGCAGAGACACGCAGCTAGCTGCCAAGCTGTGGGAGCTGAGCGAGCAGATGGCCAGCAAGGAATGAGCGTTGCAGCGCCTCAATATTTGAGGCTGTGGAGGCTAAACAAGTGCATGGCCTGCAAGGAGTGATTGTCAACAAATATACATATCTTAGATAGTGTACATTTGCTATATCCTAGCTAGGTCAGTCCTTAGGGGGAACAACTCCACTCTTGTACCCCACTCTTCCCTTCGATAAACACTTTTCCCCTAGTGACTTTTCTATCACTACCTTTACATGGTATTTGTTGGAAATATCTCAAGGACTTAAGCGTTTCTGAAGTGTAACACTGTACTCGAGGAAGATTACAGGGGAGCACGCGAGTCAACGGAGGTTACACGAGGGGGCGGACAAAGAATGCGAAAGGACTCGAAAGGTCGCAACTGGAGGTTGCGACTGACCGTTACAACATCACGGATGGTAACCGAAGCGGCAATCGAGTCGCTGTGCGACTCGATAAACCGTTCCTGTAACTGTATTCTACAACTGCTTTCTTATCTACTATATATTGCTGTATGCTTGTTTCTTTAATCAATCACTTGTTCTCACATACTAGTACAAGGGTTCAACTGCCTCAACTTCCGCTGCACTACTCCAAGTCTCAAGTCTCTACAGCTGGGACTTAGTCTCTGCAAAAGATCCTAAGGGCTTTTCTCAGCCCAACATGGTATGAGAGCTGGTCAGAGACCAAACTCCCAGCAACTACGTCCTATCAACAACCTGCAACTCAACTCAATTCAACGACTTCATTGATTACAAGACATGGACAACAAGGGCAAGAAAGTCTCTACGGGCTCACCCAGCGCCCAAGAAACTCAACACGGCAACTCTGGTCTGCACACCTCAGGACTGCAGACAGAGACCGGGACTGCTCAAGAAACAACGGGAAGAGTACCAGAGATGGTGACCCCGTCTCCCTCTTCAAGTGTGGACCCGAATCTCATGGAGAGATTCTTCAGCTTCATGTCACACTTCGATCAGCAGCAGCAGACAAGGACACCTGCGCACTCAACACAGAGCAATGGAGGGAATATGGGATTAGCGCCGATGAGCCTCGACAACTCATCCTTCGGGCGACACAATCAAGCGCCTACCTTTGCGCCTTATCATTCTTCGCCGGGGACGTTCGAATTCATGCCGCCCCGTGCCCAGCCAACAGCAGCTGCTTCACAACAAACACCGAATGAAATCTTAAGTTTACAGGCGCAGTTCTCACACGTGATCAAACTTCAGACATCCTCACCGTTCAACGGACACGACTTCTTTACCTGGAGCTTCGAGTTTGAGCTGCTGATGGAGGCCGCGCATCTTCTGGGATACTTCAACGGGTCCCTGCCATTCCCAAGCAACGGCACTGGGAAGGAACAAGAGATCTTCACGTATCAGTCGCTGCTGGCGTACACGGTACTCCTGAGAAACCTGTCACCACAAGAGCAGCAGAGCATCAGAACGTATCGGAGTTATGGAAACTCCGCGGAGCTCGCATGGCACCACCTCAAATGCCTTTACCAAGCAAACGACAGCGTGACACAAAGCAGACTCATGCAACAGCTGACAACAATACAGATGAAGACCGGGGAAAAGGCGATGCAGTATATGAGTCGCTGCCAGACCCTCCGCGACCGCCTGCTTCGGTGCGGAGGAACGATCACTGAAGAAAGCTTCGTGACACTTGTCCTCGCCGGGCTCGGGCCAGAATGGAGAACCACACGATCACTTCTTCGAGCCCACGGAAGAATTTCGGAGATGCACCTCTGCGCCGAGCTTCACGCTGAACAACAGGAGATGGATCTGTTCGAGGAAAGAGAACCAAGGAAGCAACAGCAGTTAGTCTTCTACACTCAAAGAAGAAATGACAACAACTACAACCGACGCAGCAAGCAAGATCAACGCGACAACCGAGGACTCACCATCGTGCCGCCGTTCTGCCACAACTGTCAGACTTCCGGGCACTCCAAGGTCAACTGCAACCGCCCTCGCGTTTACCGTGCAGCAGACCCACAAGTCGCTTCCACTCAAGCAAGTCCTCCAAGGCGCTCTTCAACATCTGCACAACAAACACCCAACATCATCAACTGCATGGTACACATCGACAACTGCGCACCCGCTTCACCACCCACTTACGCACCAGACGAAGAGGAATTCCCGCCGCCGCGCTCGCAAGGACTTCAGGTCAACCCGACATACGCTGCAGTCGCTAACGCCGAACCCACCGGGCGGAACACCTGGTTCTTGGACAGTTGCTGCGGTCAGCACATGTGCTCCTCCGGACGCTTCGTACAACACGAGCGACGCCTCAACCGTGACGTCGTCATCACCGTCGCCAACAACGAAAACCTGAAAACAAATAGACAAGGCGTGGTTCAGTTACAATCAATGGAGACAAACGTTATTCTTCAGCTCAACAAGGTCCTCATCGTCGACAATCTGGGATACAACCTATTAAGCGTAAGCCAACTAATGGCTAAGGGGATTCACCTGGAGTGCGACTCCTTCTCCAACGAGTTCCGACTTTACCACGGGAAGGGCGGTCTCTTCATCGGTCGTGCCCTCCTGAAGTCCGGTGTCTTCGTGTTGGACTTCGTCCCCGACCGCGGAACTGCCGACAGCGACGGTATCGTATCCTTCGCCGCCTGGACTCATCCGCCAGATCTTGATCCCGACTTCGACAGCGACGGCTTCTGGCACTCCAACACCATACCTGCAGCAGAAAGAACACGAGCATTAGCAGTTATCAGACAAGAAAGACAAGTACCCGCATGTGTCCCAACAAAACCATCACCTGCAGTATCGGCAGCAGGACCCAGCCGAGTACCACCACCAGCGACACGAGGACAGCCAACCGAAGCAGACCAACTTATGCCCGCCACACGAGAAGCTTGTCGAAGTCCCGCCTCGGTCGTCGCGTTCTTCTCCAACGCCGACATCTACCACCGCTCGCCCGGTCACCGCGCTCCCGACGACATCTGGCACCAACGTCTCGGACATCCTGCAAACAGCACGATACTTCAAACAATCCAAGCAGAAGTGTTAGAACGCAACGCCCTTCTGACGACGAGCGGCCAGGAACTCCGACGACCACGCGCACGGTGTTTCACATGCCCCGAAGCAGATCTTCCTCATCAACCTTTCCCAGCCCATCACAATCCAAGCGCACCCACTTACGCTCCGATGGAAAAGGTCTACAGCGATATTCTAAACATGCCTCGAGACGACACCGAAGCCGACTTCAACTACGTCATCACGTTCATCGACGCCGCAACCAGATACGTCTGGCACTTCAATCTCAAAACGCGTGATCAAGCCTTCGAGGCATTCACCACATGGCTTCCAATCGCCGAACGAGAGTCAGGAACCAAACTCAAGAGTTTCCAGTCAGACGGTGCACTGGAATACCAGTCACAACGCTTCAGGACCTATCTCGCGGAAAGGGGAATCCGACGCCTGGTGTCTCTGCCCTATGCTCACCAGCAGCAGGGGGTAGCAGAACGCATGAACCGGACCTTGCAGACGACGATGCGAAAACTGCTTCTGGGGATGAGGCTGCCCAACGCACTGTGGCCAGACGCGATGACACATGCAGTCCACCTGCACAACCTGTTGTCCTCGTCATCGCTCCCCAACAACGCATCACCACACCTGCTGTGGACGGGAAAAAGGGGCAGCACAAAATTACTTCGAGTTTTCGGCTGCATGGTACAATACAGACCCCACACAGCTCGAGCAGGACGCTTCACTCAACGAGCTCGGTGGGGACTACACCTCGGCATCGCCAAACATTTTCACGCGTGGAAGATCCTCGACATACAAGACAAAAATACGGTGGCATCACGTGATGTTATCTTCTACGAGCGACTGACGCTGCAGCATTACCTGGACAACATTGCCAACTCAGACGACCCCACCGACGGCTTCGCGGGCCTTCGCTCCTTCGCTGACCATGCTGCCGAGGCTGACGCAGCAGAAGAAGACGTACCTGGAGCCTCGGAAGCTGCCGGGCCACTCCCATTCTGTTCCATACCTGTTCCACTCGATGAAGATAATCCCCTCGATAGCAACAACCTCGACACCTTTTACCACTTCGCCGACCAAGGTTACGCTACACCGCACCCCGTCGACACGAATATTTCGGAACGCATCGGCCCCAATTTCTTACCTGACCCCGAAGACGGTGACGAAGCAGCTTATTCGGGGAATGACAATTCCCCTCGACACACACCCACGGGACTCCAGATTCTAGGCCTCTGGGTCTCCGTCCAGCATCCGCCGCCGCCTTCTACGCGTGAGCCTTCAACCTTGTCGCAGGCTCTGGGGGGGGAACATAAGGCAAAATGGAAAGAAGCGATGGAAAAGGAGTTAAAAGCTCTGCAAGACCGAGAAACATGGAAACTGGTACCTGCAACGAGCATCAACGGGAAGAACGTTCTCTCGGGGAAATGGGTGTACCGCATCAAGACCAACTCAGACGGCTCCATCGAACGATTCAAAGCTCGATGGGTCGTACGAGGCTTCGATCAACGATACGGAACCGACTACACAGAAACCTTCGCCCCAGTCTCCCGTCACACCTCATTACGCATCCTACTCGCCGTCGCGGCCACAAAAACACTACCACTACGCCAAATCGATGTCGCGAATGCGTTCCTATACGCACCTGTGGACGCTGAGATCTTCGTCGAACAACCCCACGGATTCATCGACGACCCCACGAAAATATGCCGACTGACAAAATCCCTATACGGGATCAAGCAAGCCCCGCGGCTCTGGCAGCAGCATCTTCACAGCCGTCTCGTAAAAATCGGCTTCCTACAGCTGCCGCATGACCAAGGGATGTACCGACTGCAGAAGGGAAGAGAGTATGTTCTGCTCATCGTCTACGTCGACGACCTGCTCTACATCGGCTCAACTACCGACATCGCCACCTGGTTCGAAGGGGAGCTGAAAGAAGATTTAACTCTCACGGTGTCCGACGAAGTTACGCAGTACCTAGGACTGAACGTCGTCGAAGACGACACGGCGTTCTACCTACACGCTGGAAAGTACTCAAGCACCGTCGCGAAGAAATTCGCTCTAACACCGACTGCGGTCCCAACTCCCTACCGCTACGGGAACAACGGCAGCGCCTCTACAAAACTCCCCGCGAAACAAATCCAGGAGTATCAACAGAAGCTCGGCTGCCTACTATTCGCAGCAGTAACCTGCCGACCCGACCTATCCTATAGTGCGAGTCAGCTGGC